TTTCTTGGCTTGCCACTCTTGACAACTCAGTCATAAAATAGCTCTCTGGAATACACTGTTCAAATTAATCAGCTGCCAGCTATTCTCCTTTTAAAACTAATAATAGAAGGTCTGCATGTGCCTGTGAGAGACTGAAACATGGGAATGCAAATTGTGCAGCTGCAAATATTTCCATACTGCTGCAGCTCTCAAATTGCTTTTTGCTCTCTACGAAGAAGGCATGAAATAGCATTGCAGGGTGCAGATTTTGTACTGTCAAAATTGTCCAACTGTCCTCAGCATGTCCATAATGTGATAAATGCTTAATGATGCCTTTTAACTTTCAAGCACGCTTTAAAGGGAAGAGGGGTGTTCTGGTCATAAAACAACATGCTCAGCTTGACCAGGAGCACAGATAATTTGATGGCTTATATCCTTTGGATGCCAGCTGTGCAAGGGATGCCAAATTGTTCTCTTGCCATTGACAGAAGTTTTAGCCTCTGATTTATCTTCTTATCATCAAGCTGCAACAGAATGGGGAAAACGTTCCAAGGAGGGAGCATGGCCTCTTGCAGGATGGGGAAACAGTACTTTTTTGAATAGCCCCTTAGATTACAGCAGTTTGGCTCCAAGTGGGCAGAGAGGATTAAGGTTACATGAGGCTTGAACTAAGACTGAGAGCTGGCACTAGAGGACAGCCAACTATGGAACACTCCTCTAACTGCTTAGGGGACTCATGTTGTCATGTGAAACTGTGGAACAACCTGGAGGCTCTGTTCATAAAGTGCTCAGGGTGGAAGCATCTTTACAAAGCCCAGTGAAGGAACAAGAGCTGCACCTGCCTCTTCCAGGCCTGTCTGCAGCTAGTACCATCAGGGGACTTTGCCTTTACCAGCAGTACATTCATTTCCAGCCTGAAAAATATTTTTAAAAGCCTCTCAGGCTTTTAAGAGAAAAAAGAAGTTTAAATCCCAGACCGGAAGCCTTAATTATAATGGATTTGTGTGAAAGTTGCCAGATCTCTCCCTGCTCTGTGATTAGGGCTGTGCCAAGAGTCTGTTTTGTGTCACATTAGCAACTGTGTTATGTTCAGCAAAGTAACTGGGTCAAAGATGCAAAGGCAGAACACAGATCACTGATTAGCACCAATGATAGCCTGCACTGCAGATCAGAATGACAGTGCAATCATTTCAAGGGTCTTGCTGTAATTAAAGGTAGCTGCAAACATTCAGTGTGAGCTTCTGAGAACAAATTTTTTGCATGTCACATTTTACACTTTGAAAAGTCATTCAGAGTCACCATGACCAGAAAACAACACTAGAGGAAACAACTATGACAACTAACTCTTCATACAGTTGGAATTGAAATTAATTTACAGAAAATAAGGAAATATTTGAGCATTCTCCTGAACACCTCTTCTAAATATGCAATACTTTTGTTTTCAGTCAATGAATTCCATCTATTGTGAAAATCAGATTACAAATGGAGAATACTGATCTCACGTGCAAGAATTTAATGGTACATGAGTTCACAGCTGTAATACCAAGTGCCCTGAAGAAAACCCAAGCTTCAAAGAAAACAGCAGAAACAGAGACAACTGCAGTGTTTTTCCAGTCTCTCTCAGACTTTCCCTGAGAGGGAAGAAAAACTGAAGAGACTGGAGTTATTTAAAGAAGGGAGTAAGAGCAGAAATAACTGTTGAATTATAATGTAGTCAGTCCTAGGCTTGTAGGTAGCCCCAGCTCACTTGCAAACAAAGCAGTGTATTTCCAAGTAATAAAGACAAACATGTCAACAAAGCAATTGACCTGGAACTCACAGCAACAGGCAACAGTGAAACATACACTATCAACCTATGGGTAGAGGGAGTACAAGCAGTTATACAAAATATGACCTTATGCAAGATAAAACAAGCAGTTAAAACACTGTAACTCAGAATACAAAAATTACTCATTAGATAGAGTCATGGAATCATAGAATAATTGGCATTGGAAAGGACCTTAAGATCATCTAGTTCCAACTCCCCTGCCATGGCCAGAGACACCACACACTAAACCATGTCATCCAAGACTCCATTCAACCTGGCTTTGAACACTGACAGGGATGGAGCAGCCACAACTTCTTTCAGCAACCTGTGCCAGTGGCTCACCACACTCACAGTAAAGAACTTCAAATCAAGGAGAGAGAACAAAAGGAGATTCCTACAATGCCTTTTCACTTTCATTCTAAGTGCAATGAGACAAGGCCAAACTAATCCTATCAAAAAAACCACATTAATCTCTTTAAAAAACTCACAACCACTGACTACCCCCAGATACGATGCAGGCATACAGCCACTGGCAGAAATATGCAGGGGACCAACAAGGAGATTTGTGTCAGGACAACAACATAAAGCAACTCCGTGAGATACAGAAATGAATGCACTTATAAAGTGACAGCTACAGCAGGCTGAAAATACTGAGCATAGGACCTGTCCACAGGAGCTGTGTGGAGCACAGAGCCACTACAACTGCACACACTACTGCGAGAGCTCCACATGCATTACCAGGTTTAGCAGCAGCTTTCTGGAATTGCTTACTCCCTTAATGGATTAAGAAACAATGTGCCAATGCCTGTGTGCTGCTGCTTAACTTTATGCCCAACCATAGTAAGTCAGCTATAAGATATCTTGTTATGAATGCAGTTATAAATATATTATGATTTATTGCTTTTATCTATTTCCTAATGGTGAGGCATACATAGTATATAACACGTGAAACCTTCATTTGAAATTCATTCCAAATTCATTAATTCATAATGCCAGGACATATGGAAATTATACTAAAGAACTATGCAAATGATGCCTTGTAGCACTTTTCAAAGTAATGGGTAAATACTGCAACGCAGACCGTTAAAGAAAACGCCATTCAGCCAGGAACACTGAGACAGAAGTCACCAAGCTTCCCACTGCGCCGCAACACTCAACAGATAAATGGCTAAAGGCAACTGTTGCCATTGGGATGCCCAATTTGCAACACCTTGCAGAGGCTTCTCAGGCTTCTCAAGCTGACCATCGGTAAAATGCAAGCACTAAAAAGTTATGATTTTGAAAATCATGATCTTTGTCTCAGAAATTTCAAGGACAAATAACATTTTCCCACAAATGAGCCTTAAACTTGGGTAATCATCACAGTGTTCTTCCTTACAGAGGGGGATAGTTTGAATTAAAATGCCAGCTTCACAGATCTTCATTTCTAGTAAAAAATGGCACAAGGATATCTTATTAAACTGCTCCAAACTGTTAAATGGATTAAGTATTATTTTTCCTGTCACTTAACCAAGTTATTAATTGATTGTGAAGAACAGTATCTTATTCATAGGATCAAGTTGGTCAAATCTTGTAGGCAAGAGGGGGACACACAAAGTTAGGCTGTGCTGACCAGCCCTCAGTTCTCAGATGACAGCTGACGGTTTTGTACGCATGTTGTACAAAGACTGCCTGCTCCAGGACAGCCTGCTTCTCCCTCATGAGTGCTCTATGGCAGATCACAGCGATAACAGTGTTTTCCGCCCGAAGTCTTCCTGGAACTCCTCCCTGAAGCATAGCCAATACTGCCCTTTAATCAAGGAACAATTTGCACACACAGACACACACTCATAAACAACGGCCATCTGCAAGGAATGGAGGTGGAATAGAAGGATCTGACTTCCATTCACCGCACTCTCTCCCCCTCCTAGGACGATTTTAGGAGAAAGCAAAAATAAGCTTCACCACTATCTCCAGCATGTGTCAGCAGCCACACTGAAGCCAGTCAGCAGCACCCGGCATTGTTTGGAGGAACACAAAAGACCTTCTGTTTGGAAAGTTCAAGAAAGAAAGCAGAGAGCCTGTGGCCTGGTCCTGCAGTCAACAGACTGAAACAGAGGTTCTCAGGCAGAGGCTGATCTGAAGCCTTTTGAAGTTGATGGGAGAGCTCCCATGGACTCCAGCAAGCTTTGGATCATGTCTGAAACACACAGAAGTGAACAAAGCAGCCCAAAAGCAGAAATGAGCATCTGCTAGAGAGGAGTTTAAACAACATAGGAGTTAACTAATCTTTTCATCATGGTTATTGGTACAGTGGATTTTTGTGATGTTCAAGGAGGCAGGATTGTATGTATTTTCTACATCTTTTCATTATGACATAGCAGTTGTACATTAATACCTTGTAATTTTTCAGCTTAAAATACTATGCATGCTACCCTAATGGTGAGCATTGAATACAGAAGTTAGCAAATGTCTCCAAGGAAAGAGGGAGGGGGAAAAAGACCATTCCAAACTGCTGAAATTATTACTTTTCTGCTTTCTTCCCATTCCCTCTCCCAAAAAGGCTGGTTTAAAGCTACGAAAAACACAGTCCAGGACTGAAAACCTTATTAAGAAAAATGTTGCCAGCAACATCTATTCATAAGCAGCTGTTTGAGACAGAGCCCAACCCAGAAGAAACTCTAGCAGCACATTCTCCAAACAATTGCTAAAGGATCCCTAAGTGCATGGAGGTTCCAAATCCTCCACTTAATTATTGTGCAGTTAATTTCCTCATTAAAGATGCATATAGGGATAACCAAGAAGAAAGAAGAGTCTTCTGAACTCTGTAAAACTTCCATAATTATTTTCTTGTAGATAGGAGCAATTGTTGCAGTGCTTTTAAAGTTTGGTGCTAAGTCCTAAATGTAATTTTCTGGGAATTAATGTTAGAAACTTTCTTTAAGACTACCAAAACCAACAAAGCCAAATAACATTTCTTGCAGGCTTTGCACAAGATTCAACAAAGAGCCAAAGGGATTTTTATTATTTTTTTTTTCCTTCAAAAATGCAGGATGTTTCCTCTTTCCCTAGTTAATAGAATCCAACTGTTGCCGCATGACATCATTCGCAAGAGCTAGGGAATCCAAGCTCAGCTCGCTCAGGCACTCGGCTGGGAGTAAACACCACGGAAAGAAGAAAAAAACCAACAAACTTTAAAATGGGAGGAAACAACATTAAAGGCAATTTTTGTTACCTGAAATTTGGAGCACTTCTCCTTCCACTCCATTCTCAGATTTGTACTTCCCAGACAAAACTCTGCCTTACTATGTGAGGCAATCAGAAAACCAGTCGTTTAGCGTCTAATACCTGCTGTGCTTCCCACAACTCCTTCATATGACCTTTCGCAGCATTGACTCCAACTAATATGATTGCAGGGAACACAGACTGGCCAGGCCAGTTGTCATGGCGATATCTTTCTCTCTCTCTCTTTCCATGCGCGCGCGCATACACACACAGATTTAAACAATTCTGGGAGGCATCCACAAAACAGCATGCCTTTTCATCAGCTAAGTTTTTGAAGCATTCCTCCCCTCCCCCAAGCCCTCCCCAGAGTCAGCCCAGGAAGCTGAGCTTTGGTCAGGAATCGATTGTTGAAATTAGAGATATTGCCTCTTTTAAAAAAGAAAACCACCACAGAACTTGTACTTTCCTCCCCCCACCCCAGGAAGGAAAACAGAGACTTTCACTTGCCAAAGCTTTGAACTAAAAGCAAATCTATTGCATTCAAACCTGCGGGCTATTTGTCTTCACCCGACTTGTTATGAATTTGATATCTGAAAGTACTAAGGCTTTGTTGAAATACAGCCATGCAGATTACAAGAAACGCTGCTGGCACGGCCTGACTGCTTACCTCGCTGTTCTCCCAGTGCCAGCCAGTGACTTAATTAGTACAGGTATTCATTGTGGTCATGCAGGACTTCCTGTACTCTTTCATGTTTCTGTAATTAAGAAGAAAAATACACAGGTCAGGAACACGTAACTCAAACAGACACCACCGCCCCCCCACCCCCAACCCCCTCCTCTATTTAGCAAGAAAACATAGATACATTTGGAAGTTTTCTCATACTGACTATACATTTACATGCCTCTAACCCAAAACCTAGTATCTCCCAGTTAAAGGGGAAACCCATTTCAATGACGTCTGTGAATACAAGAACTGATTGATTTACCATATTCACTTGCACCATGGTTGCAAAACAAAACTTACTCCAAACATAAATAAAGACAGACAAAATTTTTTCCTTGACAAAAAAAAAATCTAAATTAATCCCCAGTAACATCACATAGGGAAGCCTGGACTGATAAATCCAGAGAACAGAAAATACTTTCAAAAAAAGAAAGAACATCTAGTAAGGAAATTCAGTAAAAAGCATCTGGACTCAGAGGAACAGCACTGTGCCCAAAGATTTTACACTTTGAGAAACAGCTGGGAGACTCACACCTTAGAGGATTTAACCAGAGTCAGTCATTCAAAGTTTTAAAACTTCATAAAAGATACTAAAGGGACAGCATGACTGGTTTCGGCAAGGAGTAGTGTAAGCAACAGTCCCTCTAGTGGGCATGAAATTGCAAAACTGACTATGCCATACCAAGTAGGAAATAAAGTTCTTTTTCCTCTATCAACCGCTTCATTATGCTGTTATGGTATTTCACCCCTGCATTAAAAACCTAACATAAAATTAGCATATGCAGCCCTTTATAGGTTATTTAAGGAGCTGAACACAGAAAATGTGTATGTACATTACATAATCAACACAGATAGGTTTATACATGAGGAAATACAAAAGAGCTCCAACATATCACTCTTCTGGTTATGATTGTAACGTGATAGAAAAAGTGAGATTAAAAAAATAGAAACTAGACAGTGAGATGGCAGAGATGTCTTACAGGAGCATCTGTGTCTCCATATAGCTATTATAAGGTATAAACTACACTGGAGCATATTACTGACTGAAAACTCCACACATACATGAGGTGTGCTTTACAGCTACCAAAAAGTGCATGCAGACTATTCACAGGTAGATGAATCTAAAAAGACAGCTACTCCAGCTGCCAAGAATCCAGAAGATGCTGAAATGTCATCACATGAAAGCTTTTCTAGACATGAAAGCAGCACATGCTAAGCTTGCAAGTTCATGCCAAGTTCCCTTAAGAATGCACCAGTGAAATCCAGCAGAACCAAAGATGCCAAATATATGAATTTATGATATGTTTTTGTCTTGAAAAGTTTCCTATGGTGTACGACTTAGTTAAACGCATCACATGTTACAAGTGAGCACAGTTTCAGCAGTGTAACTGGGGAAAAGGGAGACGCGTAGCTCCTCAAAGAGAGGAATGTTTTATGCTATATCACCTCAAACGGAGTGCTCAAAGATATGGAAGTAATAAAAAGAAAAACCAACCTAGGAACTGATCAACAGACAGGTGAAATAGCTGATCAGCCTCAGATTTTTCCATAGACACCATTACTGGTAGCATGTACTAAATGTCTGCATCACATCCCACTCCAGTTTATCACAAAGCTCTGTAGCACTTCATTAGGTGACCACATCCGCATATATGGCAAGGATCTCTGGGGAGCATGCAAGCTAGCGTTTATAAACAATCGAAAATACTCATTGCATTACATATATACTCAGTTACAGTTTAAAGTTCCAAACAAAACAAATGAAGTCATTAAAATATATTACACATGCACATATATGTAGGTACAAAGCACAGTAGTAAAGCTATGGCCCAAGCTTTGGTCCTGGGCAGCTTGCTATCACAGAAGACCCCAGACAAGCACATTTCTATTCTAAGTCTCATGAATACACTCCTAATCAATTCCTTGCCAAAGGTGAAACACTCTGCTCAGACTGGCCCAGTGAAACAAGAACCATTCCCACTTTTTTCTCACTGGGCTTTTCCATAAGCGCATCAACACCTCAGAACAAAACTTAGGATCAGGACGGAGTTTGGAATCATAAACAGAGGACATGATAAGCAGTTGGTATTATGTTAATTACAGTGTCATGGCCTTACTACCATCAAAAAACGTTGGAATACATATCCTCATGCCCTCCAGGAGACAGACAACCCATTACTCACACATGGCTGATGTTTAGTTTCCTATTTCCAATACACTTCTCATTTCTGACTGGTTGAACACACTCCTTCCTATGCTCTGCTGTCACAAGTGCTGGATGCAGAAGCCATATGACACATGCAGGAGTAGGCGTGCACTGCAAAGGGTGAGGGTGCAGTGAGAGTCCTTGCTCAGGCACACCTGGCATCTGCCCTTGAGACTGTAAAGTGAAATATGAGCCACTCTCAACACAAGCTGCTTGCTCCGAGATTCTTCACAGGATGCTTTCCAAATCAAGCAGCCATCACCAGCAACAAGAGAGGAAACAAAAAATCAGATTTGCTCCTAGCTGGCTCATGAAATTTTATCACTTTCAGTAGGTGAGAACACAACATCAACTTTGGGATTTAAAAAGACAAAACCAGACATGAGGTACACACTAAGCTACTCACAACAAAAGCAGAAATCTCTGATGGGTGTAAACAGAGATTAACCACTGCACCAACTTCAGTAACATTTTCCTTTGCATTTTTTTTTAAGATAAAATCAAGTTACACACACAAATACTCTTATAAAATTCTTCACTATGAGGGTGGTGAGGCACTGGCACAGGTTGCCCAGAAAAGTTGTGGCTGCCCCATCCCTGGCAGTGTTTAAGGCCAGGTTGGATGGGGCTTTGAGCAACCTGCTGTACTGGAAGTGTCCTTGCTCATGGCAGGGGGATGGAAAATAGATGATCATTAAAGGTCCCTTCCAACCCAAACCATGATTCTATGAAAATTATTTGCAATTTTTCCCCTCCTCAAATAACTTTCTGCCCTTCAGAAGGGCTTCACACCTTTCTCATAGATAACCGCCTTATTTCTCTTCCTCTTGCATCATCTCTGCACCACAGTTACTGACCATCTTTCCAGTGACCTCAACAGATACCTGTCTGTTTGAACTTAGATAATTCAAGACTGAACAGCAAAAAGTGAAGGTTGAGTACCCTGTCCCAGTATGTTTTTAACCCAATACCATGGCAAAGCAAGTGCCTGCAGTTCCTACTGATCTCACTGGGAGAGGCAGAGCTATGCAGCAGCACTTCCTTGTCACCAGTCCATGACTTGCAGAGGTATGGAAATAAGGGAAAAGGCTCCAACCAGCTCATAATACAAAACATGCCTGCACTACAAAACCTGTGCTCTTTGCATTTGATTTGGAGGCCCAGCACTCCATACATAGGTGCATTCTGTGGGTGGGACAAGACGATGACATCCAGGACAGCAGCCACCATACTCTTTGAAGCAGTCCCATGAAGGCTACCGAGTTCTTTGAATTAACAGTGCACGGCACTGGCCTTTATTCTTAACACTCCCACATACCGCATAAGAGCACAGCAATAAATCTAGTGGCACAAGAGAACACCTCAGGTCCCAGAAGCATCATTCTACTGAAGGGAATAAAACTTCCACCAACTTCAGTAGCACATTAACTTCGATTTTGCATCATGTTTTACTAGAACTGTACTTACTAGGACATAGTAATTAGCACTAAAGTATATCACAGCCCTGAAAACCACAGCAAAGGAGTTGACCCAATATATAACCCCCCCCGCCAGTTGCAATGAGACTGCCCAGGTGTAGATTTAAGATCAGTCACCTATGAACTTGTTTTCTTCCCCCATTTCAGCATCAGATCCATTACTCACAGTATTTCCACAACTCTCTCTTCTAGCAGGAGAATTAAACATTTCCATGACCTGTTTAATAGCCCAATGAGGATCATGTTTGAAGCACTGCACTGATTTTACTAACCAGGAAAAAAAAAAAAGTGTGTGTATATATATATATACACACACACACACACACACACACACTCTATGTATATAGGAAATGACTAACCATAGCTGTGTACTCTTTGTGTTGCTGCCAATCCCTTTATGGCCCAATATCCTATTTCAGTTTAATCTCATTCTGCAAATGAAAGCCTGCCATACTTGGGTCTGACCCTGACATCTCAACTGGGTGCAAGACAGCAATCTGCAAAAGTTGCTAAGTGAGTCAATGAAACTAAGAGTATATCTGTACCTGGGGGGTCTTGACAAGAAACTGACACACATTCAACTCCTGTGCAAACACTCATTCAGAAATAAAGTGGCTTAAATTTGTGGCTATTATTGGTTTAGGCCCTGATTCAGCAAAGCACTTAAACATTGACTTCAAAAGAACTTAAAAGTATGCCAAATGTGCTAGAATATTTTACCAAAGTGGTGCTTTAGTAATGTTGTATGTTTCAGAAGAGAGAGATTGAAAGAGTTTTTATTTGGCAATTAAATCTTTAAGACATTGTTTGGTGATATACAACCGGGACACGGTCCCCATGCTAAACCTACTAATGAGGCTGAAAATCTGCTGA